GTGGGCACTCACTCAGTGACAAATGACACAAAGGGCAAAATGACACAAGGACTCTACCTGAATAAAGAAGTCACATGTCACCCTTTTTCTCTCCTTCTCTCCTCCTTTAAATAGGGACAAGGTGATAAAAGATTCTTACAGGACACAGATTCCTAAACTTTCAGTTCCTCTTATTCAAATATATTTCCAGGTCTGCTCTCAAAATGTACTAAATATGGGCTTTAGCAAGACATTGAAAGCATCATGTTCCCACGCTTCTGAATATGAAAAATTTATGGAAAGAAAAGAAAAAACAAAGCTTTAAGCACTGGACTTCTTTTGAGCAGAGGGAGAGACGGGCAGTCCCATGGTCTTGGCTCAAGACCACAGGCTGGCAGTGACACTACAACGCATTGACTTGCTCTGCTAATATCTGTGTCCATAGAGATGCCAGCAAAAGCATTAGTCTTGCCACTAAACAGGCATCTGTACATCTGGATTAGCCGATATCTAGATTAGACTTGAAATAGAGTAACCAGTTTGTTTTTCAGTGCTCTTTTATCAAGATCACCATTCTCCTCCTGTCTTTCTATATGTTTCCTCCATGTATTGACAGACAGATACGTTCCTCATTATGCAGAGAGTAGAACAACCATTTAATGACTGAGCAATGTTTCTCAAATAAGCGATTAACTAGCTGCAAATAAAACCTAGAATTTGCCTTGGGAAAACAGCCATTCTCTTATATAATGAGGCTTTATCTACCATTTATCTACCTTTTTTAAGGGCTGTAGTATGAGAAAGTTAGTAGTGAAGAATTCACAACACAGAAAAGTACCTCCATCTAGTAAGATACTCAAAGACAACAGGAAAGGTAGTGTGCTGCCATGTGTAGCACAACAATAAGCCCCATAAACTACATGTAATGTTGACTGTTATTGATGTTGTTAAAGGTGAGGTTGACATTCGTAGCAGAATCAACAGTTGCAAAAATCCAGATAGTTCTCCCTAATATCTAACACCTGTTAATATCATATCCACCTTGTTTTGATTAAGTTTAAACTAGACTATTGCTTCCATTATCACCTAGGAACCCAACAGGAACGCAACAACGGACTTTCAAGACAGGAAAACTCACATGCAGGAATTCTGCAGTTCAGAGCCGTCATAAAGCTCCCAGCAGCATCTTAAGTTGTTAACCTACAAGGCCTTCGAAAAAAAAATCCCTCTGGAAAAAAATACAATTACCCATAAGGAAGACTTTGATTCTACCTGACATAAAGAATCATAGAATGGTTTGGGTTGGAAGGGACCTTAAAGATCATCTAGTTC